GCGCAGACTGTGGCCCCAGGGAGGGATCAGGTGCCAACACCTCTGCCAGGAATCTCCTCCGTCATCCACACAGCAAGTTACTCACAGTTTCCACGGGCTCAGGTCTTTGGTGGAAAGGGAGCAGAGGGGAAAGGAGCAGAGTGGAAAGGGAGCAGAGACGAAAGGGAGCAGAGAGGAAAGGGAGCAGAGAGGAAAGGTCTCTCTTAGCTCTGGGACATGATAGGACCCACCTGGGGCTCTCTGGGCACCAGAGCCACCCCAGTGCTGATGTCAGTGTCTCTCTCAGCCCCGAGACAGGAGAGGACCTGCCTGGGCTGGTTGTGGATGCTCCAAGGACATTGTGGTCCCTAAGGAGCCCTAAGGAGGCTGAGGTTGCACCAGGAAGGTTGTGGTTGCCCCAGGGAGGGTGTGATGCCCCAAGGAGGTGGTGGTTGCCCTAAGGAAGTGGTAGTTGCCCCAAGGAGGTAGTGGTTGCCCCAGGGAGGTTGTGATACCCCAAGGAGATGGTGGTTGCCCCACTCTTAGATTCTATGATCAGCAGCACTTAAACCCAGTAGGAGCCCCTGGGATAGAGGACTCAGCCCTGGAGCCTCCCCCACCTGTCCCCACCTGCTGCCAGGTATGATCCTGCTCCTGCCAACATAAACAGCTCTGCCTGGGCAGGTCTGAGGTGACATCAGCGGGTGGAGGGAAAGATCTCCTGCTGGGACCTTCCCCCGGGCTCAGTCACAGCGCCCAGAGCACAGCTGGGACACAGGAGCAACCCCAGGACGAGCCTTAGAGGTACTGGGAGAGCTGAGAGGGACACACAGGGACCCCTTGAAAAGGCTGGTCCCATGGGGAAGTACTGGGAGGGATATACATGGAACCCTTGGAGAGGCTGATCCCATGGGGATGGACTGGGAGCACTGGCAGGGACACATGGAGCCCCTTGGAGAGACTGATCCCATGGGGATAGACTGGGAGAGCTGGGAGGGGCACTTGGAGCCCCTTGGAGAGGCTGATCCCTTGGGGAGGGACTGGGAGAGCTGGGAGGGACACACATGGATTCCCTTGGAGAGGCTGATCCTATGGGGAGCAGGGTCCAAGCAGCACCCACGGGTCCTGTCACACTGCTCTTTGCTCTGGGCAGAGATATATCTGGGCCACGTCCCCACAAACACAACTGCTGTGGGAGGCTCGGGTTGGCACCAGCTCTCCCTGGGGCTCTGTGTGGTGAATCCCTTGGGGCAGCCCTTGCTGTGTTCTCAGAGAGATGTGGGTAGGAATCCACAGCCTCTGTGGGACATCCACAACTTCCTTGGGGCAACCACAACCTCTTTGGGACACCCACAGCCTCCCTGGGGCACCCAACACCCCC